CGCTCGCTCGTCACGCGTTACTACACAAACAGTCACAGTGGCAGCGGCGCCTCAACACACGCACACAACACACACAATGACGCTTCAGAACCCGGTGTGCCGTGTGGCTCGGAAGCCACGGTGATCCTGCGTCCGGATGGACACGGATTTACTACACCGGCCTTGGCGACTCAACGCTGGGTCACGCTACACTTGCTTCACATTTTCGTTTTTTTTTTGTTTTTTTTTGGCGAAAAGATGGTTGTTGTTATTTGTTCGTCTCATGTATTCCAACAGTGCAAAGGGAATTGCACTGGGACGAAATTGTCCCAGTGCAAGTCCCTCTCTTAGAACACGGGCACAAAAATTACAATTTCACTTTTTATTTAGAAGTTTTGAATATATTAGATGTACACAGACACGGAAGGGGAAGATAATAATACTTAAGGTGCCGCCATCGGACCACTGAGGCGTCGCTTCAGTGCCACTAGGGTGCCACCTGATAGGAATTCAGGGGCGTGACACCCCCTGCGGGGCCCGAGCGAGCGAGGAGCGAGCGCGGGGGGCGGGGGCATAGGCGTCGAGAATGACCCGAGTCCAAACTCCAGCATCGAATTGGCGGAGAGGAAGCGGCGGGAGGAGATCCTGGTCAAGGAGGAGGAGAGGAGGAGGCAGGAGGAGCGAGAGGCGTGGCGGAGGGAGAGCGAGCAGGAGGAGGAGGACGAAGGGAAGAGCAACAACAGCAGCAGGTCGGAGGGCTCGGTGTCGCTGTGGTCGCAGGGCACGCAGGCCGCCCTCTGCGAGTGGTCGCGGGGCACACTCACCATCACCTTCCTCACGCCCGCCAGGCAGGTCAGTGTGGCTGCACGCCCGCGCCCGCCCGCAGCCGAGGGCGGGCGAGGCAACCCTGGCTTTCGGTGGAGTGCGAACTAAGAAGAAAATAACCCATCGCTACTTTTTGTTTTGTTTTTTGTTTGTTTTTGTTTTCTTATCTAACTTGTCATGATGTGAAGTAGAAAGAAAATATTTAGATGAAATAATTATTTTGGTTTGGTTTCCTAACTCTCGTTGTTTTCTTTTAGACGTGACATTAATTTCCTCCGTTTGGCCGCAGTAGTTCTCGCGTGTCCTCCGGGGCGGCGCGCACTCCGCCATGCATGAGCGGACGGTCGCGTAGCATGATTTGCTGTGGTTTTTGTATTTTGTCGTTGTTTGTGTTATTTCGTATGTTGTTTTTGTGATTTTATTATGTTGGTTTTGGTCTGTTTCAGAGTGGTTCGCAAATTCATAAAAGCAAATTTCTTTTGTAAAGATCGTTTTTTTTCTGTTTTCTGTTTGAGTGCTTAACCGACCTTTATGATGTATGTTTATAAAGTGTGGAGAGAGAGAGAGAGAGAGAGAGAGAGAGAGAGAGAGAGAGAGAGAGAGAGAGAGAGAGAGAGAGAGAGAGAGTGAGAGAGAGAGAGAGGATAAATTAAATGATTACGAGCTAAATGAAGTGAATCGACTAAGATCTCGGTCTCTCATGCGATTTGTTCCCGTGACAAAATAATCCCAGGAAGACTAATGCACACACACACACACACAATGTGTGTGTATATATATATATATATATATATATATATATATATATATATATATATATATATATATATATATATATATGTATATATATATGTATATATATATATATATATATATATATATATATATATATATATATATGTATATATATATATATATATTATATATATATACATATATGAATATGTATATAGATATATATAAATGTGTGTGTGTATATATATATATATATATATATATATATATATATGTGTGTGTGTGTGTGTGTGTGTGTGTGTGTGTGTGTGTGTGTGTGTGTGTGTGTGTATAAATGTATGTAAATGAATGTGTATGCACATATAAATATATATATATATATATATATATATATATATATATATATATATATATATAAATATATATATATAATATATATATATATATAATATATATATATATAATATATATATATATATATATATATATATATATATATATATATATATATATATATATATATATATATGTACACACACACACACACACACACACACACACACACACACACACACACACACACACACACACACACACACACACACACACACACACACACACACACACACGCTACATTTCCTGAAACGTGAAACGTGTTAATGAGCGAGTGTTCAGCGGCGCCTGTGATCTCCAGCGGCCGGCCGGGTCGAAGGCGTCGGTCTCTGTCGCCGCTCAAGTACATTGAAGTGGATTGGACAACAAACTGCCTCCCGTCGTGACAGTTATGAATAGTAATGATTGATAAGATAATAAGATAACAAGATTAGCGATAGTGATAATGATAGTGTGACAATGATGATAATGATAAGGGATAGTATGGCGATGATGATTATGACGTTGATGAAGATAATGATGTTATTGTTAAAATGATGTTATTGATAATAATGATGATAATAATAGTAGTAGTAATAATAATACTGATGATGATGTTAGTAATGATGGTCATAATTATGATAATGATAGAGATGATGAACAACTATAACAATAATTATAACCAGCAGATAGGTTATATATATATATAGAGAGAGAGAGAGAGAGATAGATATAATTACAGTATATCAGTCGCCGCTCATGACTTTAGCTGTTGACGCCCCAGATAATTTAAAGTAATCAGTCATTATATCAGCATTAAAAGTCGAGTGACGCGCGAAGTCGCTACAACGACTGTTCCTAAGCACTAATGCCCCCCCCCCCACCACCACCACCACCACCGCCACGCCCAGGCCGCATGTCTCCCTTGTTCACAGACCCAATAAATGAGTCGTTAAGATGCCGTTTATCGCTCCAGAAGCCCCGGGCACTTGTCCACGCCCTCGGGAAAGGGGGCGGGGGGAGGGGCGATTAGGATAGGAAGAAGGATTAGAAGGAAGGAAATGGGAAACGGGGAGGGCGACGAAGGAGAGATAAGGAAGAGGAAGGAATAGGTGATGCATTGGGAATGGTAAAGCTGGTGTGCGAATTGATAAGAAAGAAGAAAGGAGAATGGTAAGAAAGGCGAAGGAAGAGAGATATAGATAGATGCGACACATTGTAAAAAAAAGAGAAAGGAAGTACGAAGGATCAGATAACAAGGTACAAATAAAAGAAAGCTAAGAAGAGAAAACGAGGGGAAAGGAGAGAGAGATAGAGATAGAGAGAGAAAAGGGAGATGGAGATAAATATAAAAGGATCAGATAACAAGATACAAATAAAAGAAAGCAAAGGAGAAAACGAGGGAAAAGGGGAGAGAGAGAGACAGAGAGAGCGACGGAGATGAATAAAGAGATATTAGCGGCGGCGGCGGAAGTGCTGAGAAAGGTGGGAGGAGCAGGAACGTAGCGGGCGTGAAGCAGCCACCGTGACGCCCGACGCCCACCTCCCTCCCGCGGGCGCCGGCAGTGTTCCGCGGGGAGTGCTGGTGCGTGGGGTGCCCTGCGTGGGCGGCCGGGCGGAGTGAGGGAGGAAGAGGGGGCCAGAGGGCGGGCGAGAGAGAAAGAAAGGAAGAGGATAAGGGGGGAGAGAGAAAGAAAGGAGATAAGAGGGGGGAATGAAAAATAGTGGAGAGGTTGGTCTGAAAGAAGGAAGAGATAAGAGAGGGCTTGTAATCATTTGTGTGTGCGTGTGTGTTTGTGCGTGTGCGTGCGCGTGTGCGTGTCTTTAAGAGAAAAAAAAACAAAGCAGGTTTACCTCGAGTGCGTGCTCGCGTTTGAGGAAGAGAAAGGAGTGGGGTAGGGGAGGAGGGTAAAGGGGGGGGGTATTGTCGCGTGGCTTGCGGCCGATTCGGGGCACCTGACACTCGACATCTGACACCCGACACCCGCGGCGGTGCTCCTCAGCCACTATTGCTGCCTAATACCCCCCGTTCCTCCCCCTCCTAAAAGACCCGTCTCATCAAACCAACTTTCCCCCATGACGCCCTCGTTCGGAGCGATTCCAGCCTTGTTATCCCTTTTATCCAAGTTTAATTCCTCCCCCCCCCTCCGCAAGGCATGAATCATAGCACTCGAGATTTGATGGAGGTCTATTAGAGCCATTTAATAGATTGTCTTGATCCCTCTCCCTCCCCGCTTCTCCCGGGCGCGTCACAGTCGCTCCTTGGTTGTCACGTCCTTCTGTTCCTCGCGGCCGTGGCTTTATAAATACCTGCAGCGAAAGGCGAGCGGCAGATATCGCTGATATCTGGAGTAAAGTCGATCCGGTTTCGGGGTTTTGTGTGTGCGAGGCAGGAGTGGATAAGGGTTTTAGTTTTTTTTTTTTTTTTTTTTCATCGTTATTCGCGTAAAATTCCAAGTTCTGAGATGTGTGTGTTTCGCGGGAGAAGTGTCGGGTAATCTCTCTCTCTTATCTCGGGCGAGGGGTCAGTAGGCCATCTTGATGAGCGAAAAGAAAATATAACGCTTTTCTTTGGAGAAGAAAAAAAAAACATCATTACGTGTTTCTGTGATGACTCTCTTGGACGAGTTCGTTTACATGGAAGTAAGACAAATATATCAGTAGGTCTCGACAAGTTTAACGATGTGACGTCACTCAACCTTGTGGAAGTGAGGAGTTGCACCTGTGGACGTCGCACCTGCCTGTGCTCGTTTTCCGCGCGCGACCCCGTGGTATAATCAGTGTCCCTATTTCGCTCAGTGCTTTAACACTTCTACCGTCGCTCACCATTTCCCTCTGGAATACTTCTATTACAGCGCCTCCCTTCCTCTCCCGACCCCTCCCCTTCTCTCTCCTCTCCTCTCTTCTCTCTCCTCTCTCCTCTTTCCTCTCTCCTCTCTCCTCTCTCTTCCCCTTCTTCTCTTTCTTCTCTCTCCCCTCTCTCTCTTCTCTCTCTCTTCTCTCTTTCTTCTCTCTCTTTTCTCTCTCTCTCCACTCTCTTCTCTCTCCTTTCTCTCTCTCTCTCCTCTTCCTCTTCTCTCTCTCTTCTC